TACAACATTATTATCTAATTCAGAATGGATTATTTATTTATAAAGGAAGAGAAACGCGTGTAACCGATTTCACCGATTGAATTTATGGTCCATTTTCCCCAAAATATATATTTTCTTCAATTTGTTAAAGTCAATTTAAGAAGCCTTTCATATTTTATTTTCAAAATCTACTTCCTCAAACAACTCAAGTAATTGATTCAATTCAGAAAGGATGTGCTGCTGGGTACCCCATGTCTGACGTGTAATAATTTCCTCTATTGTTATCACATTTGCTGATTGTCAGCATAATAAAGTTGGCAGTTGTGTTGAGATAAAAAATAAATAGAAATGATTAAACATTATGGTGGTACATTATATAGTGGTATTAATTCAATATACATTATATAGGAGAATGCTCATTGCTATTGTTTTGTTTGTTTTCGATCTAAGCTTTACATTTTTTTTTTCACAAATTAGACCCTAATCGAAATGAAAGTATATTTTATTATTCTGGGTCTGTTGTCCCTTTAGAACAAGTTATAAGTACAGAATGCATGTCCGTATAAATATTTACAATAATTGTTAATTAAAATTAAAAATACAGAAGAAAGGGAGAGAAAAAGAATAGAAAAGCGTATATATATATATAAAACAAACAAAGGAAACTAAAACAACATAAATAAACAGAAGTTGTCTCTGGAGGTGCTTAAATAGTTCTCTATTCAGTTATATTTCATAGTCAGTCGGATTGAGAAAGGAATAGATGTTTAAAGATGAGAGGTTTGAAAAAGGAAACTAATTGTGCGTTTCGAATATCAGAAGGGATGGAATTCCAGAGGGAGGCGGTGTGAATCGCAAAGGATTTATCAACGCAGCAGTTCGTTGAGGAGAAGGATAGAGGTCGGAAGTACGAATATAGTGAGACTGGATTGGTAGAGTATTTAAATTATAAGCTGTGAAAAATATAGGAGGGTCGATGATCTGGTACAGAAAGGTAGCTAGGAAGTACTGACAGCGATATGGTGGATAGAGCCACTTCAACTGAATGTAATACTGGGTAATATGCGTGTCCTTTGGAATTCCGAAAAAAAACGTATTGTCCAATTCATTTTACTTTTAAGTTTAGCTTCGAAAACTCCCGAGAGTCCACCATGCAGCCATAGTCGAAATTTGGAAAAACAAGAGAGTTGAGGGGACTTATATGGAAGGAGATAACGTAGATGATTGAACTGTTTTAGGGTGGAGACAGTACGACGGTGATTGGTGCATTGATTGAAAATATTTTGACTTGATGAAGTTTGCGAATGATGGATAAGTGGTACCCTTTGTACAGGGGATGCTGTGAGAGGAGGTGAGAGGGGAGGGGTATTAAACCTCGACGAAAGCGAACTATCGCGGGCGGGGGCGGAGGGGGGGGGGAGGGAGGATTAGGGAGTGGTAGGGAGGAAGCCCAGTCGCCTGTGGGCCGAGCTGAAGGGAGGGTCTTAGCGAACTGTGCCGCGAGTGTTGGCGATCTCTGCCACGCCAGTGTGCTCGATAGGTAATGTCTCCCTCAACTTGTAGTGTCACTTTGTCATGTAGCGTCAGGTCTCTGGCATCGCTATCTTGTCAGGTCTCAATGAAATATAAGTAAATAGTAATTATAGGAAGATTTGATACTCGCAGGATCCTATGTCATTCAGTTCATTACTGCCACCGATAGTGCTATGCCCATTCATGAAAAACATATTCGCTGTTTACTTAATTAATGTCTTGTTTTCATCATTAGATGTCTTTTAAAGGTTTGATGTACCGTGGAGAGGCATCATCCCCTATTTATTCGCAAATGATATTTCAAAAATATATTGAAGATTTTTGTATAATTTTCTATAATTAGCCTTTTTCTTTTCTTTTTTTCTTGATAATTGGACCATTTTGGACTAAAACTGATTTCCTTCTCTCATTAGAAATATCACTAAAATTAATAATAAAAAATGTTGAAATTTGAGTTAGTCATGCTGTCAACTGAAAGGCTCATTTATGCACACAGATAAATAACTGATACAATTTTTTTTTCTTGATAAAAATACAAGCTAAATAAATTACTAAGTTACGTTTAACGACTTGAGTAAGTAACAACTTTATTTACTGAAAGTTCAAATTTTTCTTTGATAAACATTACTTGGTATTATCTCGGAATCATACTTATGAATTTTGATGAAATTTATTTTAAATAAATATTATATGGCTTGGATATATTCGTTTTAATTTTTCTCTATTACAATTAATCTTATTGACGTAAATAATTACTATACGTATATCAATGCAAATTCAAAAAAATAATTAAAAATACAAAACAAAATACTTTATATCTTGTATATGTTCATACACTTTATCTATTTTAGAGACACATTTGTTTTTTTAATCAGTGAATATCAGTTCAATGGAAAAATATTTAACATTATTTTATGTTGTTTGTTTTAAAATTATTCCTCATATTTTCATCCTAAAATAGAAAAAAAAAATGAATTAATATGTTTTCCGGTTTGACGGTTCCAATTAAAAATAAAGAACAGTCTATTGTCATGAAAAATGTTTTCACTTGAGAACTATTCTTTTTTTTATGTACATATGATTTTTTTTGTTCTATTCAGAAGATCACCCAAATATAGAGGAAGGACATTGTGTTTCTTTGAATATGAGCTTGTTATATAAATCACATACACGCTTATGTATCAGTGCATGAATACATGTATTTATATTTACTAAATTGACCTGATCAAATATATATTCAGAACAAGAGAGGAAACATACTATGATAGGATAATATACGGTTGTAATATCACTTAATAGGTTACGATGTAAATGAGAGATAAAACAAAAATAAACACTAGCTAAATAAATTGTAGATATGTAAGCCGTCTTTTCCCGAAAATAACTTATTGGTTGTATGGAAGATCACCAGGGGAGGGGAAGGAGTGAGGGTGAATTTTAAATCTGTTTCACAACCCACAGGCAACGGTTTTGGGGATGTTTGTAGGCCTGTTCTTTGGGGAAAATAAACATTTTTTCTTTATCCTCTTTATCTCCTCTTTGACATTACTAGAGAGGTGTTAGCACGATTCAACTAGCTTTGCAGGAAACAAAAATTTTATTCAAATAACATTTTTTGAAAAAAATTATTCCTGATTGAATTCCGTACGAGTTTATTAAAACGGCAAAGCTTAATGGTTACGCGTCCATTTTTCGTAGTCAAGTCGATTCTTAGACCATTTGAAATTTAGTGTTCGACATATCGGAAACGGGAATCGAAGGTGTCCTGTATCGGAAGGAAGTGTTTACGACTTAAAATAAATTGAAATCTAATATTCGAATTTTTAGAGCTTAAGTATTTTTTTGTTTAGGCCCAAAACGACATATTGTATTGATTTCTTAATTTTCTTTTCGGCTGTTGAATAATATATTTTTTATTAAGACCTCGAGGGTTGGCACAGGCGGATTTACGGGAGGGGGAGGGGCTTTCAGGCTGAAGCCCCCCAAAACGGTAAAATATAACCATGTTTTATAGAAAATAATATTAAAAACTATCTCTTAAAGTATTCTTGTTCGTGTAATTACATTTAATAGGACTTTAAACAACTTTTCATATAGGTAGTTCATTTCTTTCTTCTTTTTTTTCAAATTAATTATCGTTATATGTATGAAAAAAAAATCTTTCGGGCTGAAGCCCCCCCCCCCCCAAAATTAAATCCTGGATTCGCTAGTGAGGGTCGGTATAGAAATAAGCGAAATTTAACAAAGTTTTTGCGACTGTATTTTCTCATATTTACGCCATTATTAATATTTACTATATTCGACAACTAAATAAACAGTGAACTACAACTTACGCCCAGCACAACTATAACTAACAAGATTGTTATTTACTGAAAGTGAAATATTAATATGCTGCAATTGGTATGAATACGAGAACAATTGAATCTCTAAACCTCCCCTTCATGTTGTTGTTAATTTATTGTCCGAACCTAAAGATCCGTAGCGGATCCTTCCAATCGAATAGCTGATTGAGGGGTTATTAATTAATTTAAGGATTGTTTACTAAATCTTTAGCTCAGATAGCTCAGAGAAACAAATATGAACCAATAAAAAAAATGTCTTTTTGGAGGAGGTCTTCAGCTCTGAAGCTCCCTCCTCGTTGGATAAAGTAGAACTTCAATTTTGACATCACATCAGTTTTTTAAATGTTTAATTTATTTAATGTTACACTACATAACTTTTTTTAAATATAGATTTTGTTTTTCGAAGAAGGTATAAAAATTCTTGTGGGACTGGAAAGAAATTATTTTGAATGAAAATAATATAAAAAAATTGTTTTGTTTTTCATAGCAAATGAGCTGATATTTCATAACTTGCATGAATATATGTATTATGTATTTTATTTTCTATCTATGCTACAACCTAATGCAAAGAGTGAATTTTAAGCGTTATTATTAGTCTTGCCCAAATGCGAGACCGAAAGGAGTCTTGGTTTTGTAAAATCCTTCTTGGTCTAGGTCTTAGTCTTGCAGTTACCTATCAGCTTATTACTATACAGATATTTCTGTAATTTTTTAGATAGGAGAAACATAACCAAGTCGGAATGAAAAATTAGAAGAGTTAAATGGTAATGTATATTGGTTGTACCAATTCTTTATAAATAGTAACTAAAATTGTCAAGTATTAGTAACTATTTTGCCCTAATTTTTATTCAAAAAATTGATTTTTTTTACCTGTCTAGATCTCGGTCTTGCAACAGTTAGGCGGTCTTGGTCTTGGTCTTGGTCTTGCAAAGTGCTGATTTTGGGCAACACTGGTTATTATAAAACTGAAGCTAAAACCATCTCGAGGCTTTGCCCAAACTCAACCTATTTTGAGTTTATTCTCAGCGTCCTATTTCCTTTTTCCTCATTTCTTTTTTTTCTCATTTCAAAGCTTCCTCACTTTATTACTTTGTTTCTATCCTTTACTTTTATCTGTTATTAAAATAGAAGTAAAGGGTATTCACTTTAAACTATAAATATGTGCCATCTTTGAGGACAGGAGGGGAAGTGGTGGGGCAGGAAGTGCCTGTCAAACCACAAGTCCATGTCCCGGATCCTGGTCACCACTTCCAGCCCGGTCAAGAATCGAGGTGTCGACCTTCCGTCTCGGGGGGAGGGAGGGAGGTTCGGATAAAGGAACCTGCTACATTGGAAAAGAAAATAACATAATTTAAACATATTTTATAATATTTTTTGTTAAAAACACCAGCTGATTATTAAATAAAGTACGTAATAATAATGAAATTGGTTCATTTCCATCCCTCGTTATTCACCGTAATGCCGATATCGCCGGAGGCTATTTCTGTTCTGTTTTTACACTCCATTATTATTAACGAGGTTTCATTGGTGAAAAGGTTTTTTTTTAATACATATTGCCAACTTGCTCAGTAGCGCCCACAATGTCCGGCCAATTAATGTTCATTAAAGGGAAAATAATAAACTTATAATAATATTTAAAAAAATAAAAGGTTGGAAATACTCCTCGTTTAAATATTTTTTTAAAAAATGAATATTTCAAAATTGATAAAATAGATATGGAATGACCGATAAGGAGCAATAGATAAATACCTTGCTTGCGATCCGATAGGAGGCGATGGACCCCTGGTAAGTGAATTGTTAATCAGTTAACAATAAAATGGCTAAACAAAAGAGAACAGTTTACTTCACCTATATTTAATAAAATAATTCAAATCTCATCTTATATGTAGCCAAACTCAAAATGTAAAAAATGGAAAGGTACAACTAAGTGGCCATACACTGTCTAACTTCTTTCTGTTCCAAAGTATCTCCTATTATTATTACATTTACCCTTAAGTCGAAAAATGATCTAGGAGTATTAGGCTACCCTCTCTCCCTCTTTTCTCCCCTCACAGTCCTTAGAAGATAGAAAACTTCTCGATTCCGACTGCTTGAATGTTTAGCAGGCAAACGAGATAAACTACCAATTTATCATAAAAAGCCCAGAAAACGAAATCCTATTCAGAATGTTCAATATGCCTTATTATGCCACAGATAAAATTATTCTTAGAAATTCAGGTATCCACATCCTTTATGGATTTATTACGATTAAAATGCCTAGACATACTGCTCTAAAATCCTTTAACATTGAAACCTATTCACAAAGAACTATACACAATTCTGTTAGGGAATAGATTTCTGGGGATCATGTCCAGAATTTTGAAGAAAACACGTGTGCACTATCCTAATATATTGTTTCGCCAAAGTGTATTTTCGTCGGTACACCAGATATTTCTTTATGTTTCATCAAAAATCAAATGACTGATCAATCATTTTGAAGTCCCTCCTTTTCATCGCTGAAAAATAAGCTCATTCCCCTAAAAATGACTAGAATAAAATATGAAATAATAAAACTTTATTTCCGCAAAACTCAAAAGACATAAAGTTTTTGGTTGACTCTACCCATTATACTATGAAAGGTTTATAAATTAGCTACTTAACGAAATTTAAAAAAACCCTCTCAAATTGGATCATAATTAGCAATGATACAGAATATTGCCATTAATACTCATGTTTTGAATGAACCATCGTGATTGACCAAGGAAATGAAAATTAATTTTCTCCTACCTTTCATCAAACATCGCATTTCCTTATTCAATATTATATTGTCATTTATTCACTGATATATTATACTTAATATCAGAATTATTCGCACTGGCCAACTGGTCTTTGAATGACATTATTCAGTTAGATCATCTAAATGGCAAAACACCAATTTTATGACATTCAAAGCATATTATAACAAACGTTCTGTGAAAAAATATGAACTTAATATGTGATATAAATTTTTCTTAAATTTTGTTAAATAATACTTAGCTAAAATAATTATTTAAAATTATATTTCATAATCAAACAACAACAAAATATGTTCAAAAGTAATATTTATGTTGTGAATAAATTTAAACTGCTGGAATTAATCAATGTTTATTTTCAATTAACTTTTCTATTTATGAACGGACATCAATTCATTTCACTTTTTTACATATAAGAGAGAGTGCTCCTGTTAATTTATTTTATTTTAATATAGTCAAGGTAGGATTCACTAATTGCAACTGAACTTTGGTTACAAACAATAATTCAATTAAAAACAGCTGCCATGACACCAAAGCAAACCCTTTCCTCATTCAAACCAAATAGTTTGGTTTTTGTGATATAATACACTTTGTCCTAACCAGGCATTTTGTGTCCCAATAGTTAATTTTAATTTTACATTAAAAAATGTAAATATAATTAAAATAGAAAACTGAAAGATCTACAAGCTTTTCGGTCATTTTCGAAACTCGAAAAAACCTTTTTCTCAAAAAAATTAAAAAACCAGTGCTCTTCTACTCAGATTGTGAGGTCGCTCTACCTCGACGGTGCTGCTATGCTAAGCTTAGTAAGAAAGTGGCTAGCTGAAACAATGCATTTGAAACCTGCACCAGTAAGACCCGTGGTCATCTGCAGGTCTGGCTCTCAAAACTATGTTGGGAACTAGAGGTTTGTTATTGTAGAGGGAGCTGTTCCTCGGTCAGCGGTTGTACAAGGAGCTGATGGAATGAGATCACCGACCCCAAGTTTTATCAATTAACTAATTTATTAAAGGTGAGAGGCAGGAGGGTATCTCAACCCCAGGGTCGATCCATCGCTGGTATACCAGAATAAATAATTACCAAGCCAATCTAAAAAATAGGGGCACAGTGCCCTCACGAAATGGGCCATTAAAATTTCAAGAATACTTGTAACGCCACCTAGTTTGATGTTAACCAACAGATTTGGCCCAAGATTATTTTTTGTAATAAAAAAGTCCAATCTTCACGGTAAGGGCCAATTATTACTGGCACCAACTAAAAACGCTGCAAATTATTTCACAATGGTTTATTATCTCCAAACAAAAAAACTATATGCAATATCAACAAAAACGTAAAAACTTTTCGAGTTATTCGGAATTTAATTTTACCATCCATTGTAACTTTTTTTCCAGCTTTTTTTCGTCGAAGTATGTTATATAGATAAATAAGTGCATCGAGAAAATGTTTCAAAGAAAAAAGTTTCATTGAAATCTGTACATTCGTTTAGGAGCTATAGCCTATAGAAACGCAGTTTTTTCGGCCGCCATTTAGAAAGTTAAAGGCGGAGGGTAATATCTAGCTGCTGCATTTTTGCTGGTAGCGGCTATTCCAGCTGCTCATTGGTCAGCTCCAATGATCTGGATTTATGAAATTGCCTCGCTAATTCCTTCCATTTATTTGGGCAGGCACAGATAGCTCCCGTCGTGTTCGGTTGAGGTTATAGAGGCCATATGTTCCAACTTACAGGGCAGTACGTTCCAACTATCTCCCCTTGTTATTTAGTCCATTTAAGGGGAGGGGGGATTTGTTTTCCCATCAAGATGTTATATATTGGAAGGGCCCATGTTTTTTTAGTAGTGTCAACACATCTTTCGATTATGTGTTCATATCCCACCCAGTTCTTAATAAGTTGAAAAAATTTATAGTTATTTAAATTTTTAATTTGTTTTGGGTTGCAGATTTATTTACAATACTCGATATATTTATATATTTACAATTATATATGTCTATATTTATATATTTACAATTATATATATATATATATATATATATATATATATATATATATATATATATATATATATATATATATATATATATATATAGGCGAACAAGATCAAAAGTGTTGAGAAGAAAAAAATAAAACTGGATGATGATATTGTAATGAAGCGTATTACCTATTAAAGCGACAATAATTGTAATTAATGATGAATTAATTACAATTATATATAATTGTAAATATATAAATATATATATATATATATATATATATATATATATATATATATATATATATATGTATGTTTTCGTAATATTATTATTATAAAATCCCTGACTATTTTAGAATTAAAAGATATATCAATGCTAATTTGGAATCTTCTGCAATATCCCAATAACGAAATTTATAGTATAATATTTAATAAATTTGCAGATGACACACAATAGTGAATAGAAAAGAAAGATTAATATTGAGGAAGTTGAAGGACGATATTTTCTAAGGACAAAGAAGTCTCCTGACAAAATTGATATTACTTTCGAGAATTAATTGCCCCTAATGGTTCTAGATTTGGAAGGCCTTTGAATGATAATCAAATTGGGGAGGGAGGGAGAGGAAGAAAGGGATGGAGGAGGGAATAACGGAAATAGTAAAGAAGGCAGGAAGGAGTAATATTTTGATTAAATTCCGCTCAGATATCGGCTAATATCCACCATCACTGCCCTCTTCGTTTCAATATCCGCTTCCGTTCTTATTGTTTCCCTTCATGCACTCTTTTGAACTTGTTCGTCCAATGTTATTGTAATTAAAAATCATCTTCAAAACGGTCAGTTGTTAAGATAAGAAATGGTAAAGGAGCTTTTAAAATTGTTAACTATTATCAACAAGTCAGTCCCTCATATGAAATAAGACTCAAATATTTTTGAACTTCAAAAATTTATAAATATACCTTATTAATATGTTTCTCAATAATATTTAAATAAACCTAATCTCTCTCTCTCTCTCTCTCTCTCTCTCTATATATATATATATATATATATATATATATATATACACACTGGTGGATCCAGGGATTAATTTTGGGGGAGCTTGCTTTATATATATATATATATATATATATATATATAGAGAGAGAGAGAGAGAATAGAATAGAAAATAATTTTATTCTGGGTGTAAGTTTCTTAAGACTAACAGAATATTACAGAAAAAAAAGAATAAAATCTGAGCAGAAAAATGGAACAAACAGCTAACAGAACAACATTAAAAAATAGCTGGATAAAGCTTTAAGTAAATAAACAAAATCATTATAATTAAAACTAACTATGGAACAAAATACTCTCTGCATAGCTAAAAAGATAAAAGAATATAATAATCAAAAGAAAAATATTTAAAAAACAACAACAAGGAAACATTAGAAAAGAAAATAAGGTCCTCTTAATGTTCAAATATTTTTCTTTTTTTTTACTTATAATTTGTAACTACCTGAGAACTCGTGACAAACAGTAAATTGCCCACCCACGGGAATAATGATGTTATCTGAAAGGAAGAATCGTTTTTCCTGTTCGATTTAGTTAAATTTAGTCACAGGAGGAGATCTCTCATCCAGCACTTTGTCAATAAGTCCTTTGGTAACTCAAAGGAGCGTGGGTCCTTGCTATTTCGAGTTATTCATCAGGTATGACGAGTTTGTCAGTCACATAGCAAGTTGATTTGTCATCAATCGGAATATTTAATATTTATTGGAAAATATTACGTTTTTGTAAGCGATTTTTAGGAAGAAATATTACCAATGTCTGGGAGGAGTGTATCTTTTATCTTTGTGGGCGAATGTGTATGTATTTAATGTCTGTTGTATTTTCAGTTTTGAGATATTAAAAAACTTTTAAATAGTTTTTTAAACTTCTTTTGTTTTATTTTAGAATACTAGCCCAAATCATCACGCTGAAGGTATAGGGTAGTGTAGTACATTAAGAGGGGTTCGGTTCTTGTCGCTTCAAAATTAATGAAATGTTGCATTTTAAGATTTTCGATGATTTATACTTTCTGTTCTAAGAAATAAAAAATCGTTTTGAGTTTTCAAAAAGGATCCTCTATCTCAAAAGTTGTTACTAAAAGATTTCGTGAACCCAACGTAATAAATTAGAGAGCTACTCATTGATTAAATTGTCAAATTGTATATTACCAATTAAATCTTTATAATTAATGGAAAATTATTTTTGAATAAATCTATTCTTTTTGATAATATTTAATCAGATTATTATCCCGGATAGGCCGCCAATTCCTGATTCATATACCGTAAGGCTTTGAATCGGAGGGTGAGGAGAGTTCTGATGCCGCCGAAAATAAGATAAACGAGTCCGAAATAAGGGCTAATTAAATTCCTCGAAGGCCCTCGAAGGGCACATTGTCCTGGAAGCGGAGGAACAGGGTCGTTGATGCTCTTCGTCCTTAGAACTGTACAGCGACGGTACCTCTTCCGTTGATTGGCCAACTTGTGAATGGGCTAGGGTCGGCGGTAGTTAGCTGTCTGGGATCGATTCTCTCCTGCTCCGATCAGCTTTGTTTTAATAAACTTTGGGGAGGGAAGGGGGATTATTTTGTTGGGTCTAAGAATTTCTCGGTAAAAGCTGTGTATAGCCGTCGGTTCAGCAATTTATAATTTGATTACTCGGTCCAATATTGGATGGTTAGAGTAGCACTCACAACCTGTTCTATATTAACACCCCCAACTGGCCCTATAAACCTCTGCACTATCGATCGGAGGCGTTCTGTATTAATATCGATGCTTCAATAAAGGGAAGTAGGCTATTGATATTATGCTAACTCCGTCGCTCTCGATCAAGATATTCGGTACTGATATTATTTAAATTATACTCGGATTATTAAACCTCTGGCCGGTTTTGGCATAAATGAGGCGCTAAGTTCCAAAACCAGCGAAGTCAACCAACAGCCAACATTTTGGAAAATAATAAATACTAACAAAATCGATTATTAATTGTTAAGAAGATATTCTTTTTAAAAATGAAATATGTGTTAAGAAGAATTTGAAAAAAGGGCAAAAATTAAAAGATATTTTACTTACAATTAAAATTATAAATAAAATATTTCATTTTTAAAAAAATACTAATGCGTTTTTACTTTTATTTTTTAATATTATTTCTTATTCTTCATCATCATACTTCTTTATCATTCCCTAATACAGTGGGTCTTCCTCTTTTTCTTCTACTATCTGCCTCCTCATTCATAATCATATTTGGTATTCTATCGTCTCACAAAACCATATCTTCTGAGTCTCCTTTCTTCCATCATTCTCTAAAAATTTTGTTTTATGTCCCTAATAGTGATATTTCTTACTCTTTCGATCCCTTATATCTTAGTTGCTCACCTCCAAATATCCATTTCGACTGAAAACAGTTTCTTCCTCTGTATCATACTGAGGGCCCATGTTTCCGAACGATATAGCATTAAACTTTCTACATAAGCTTTTTATATTAGCCATTTTGTTTTTATTAAAATATCACTGCTCCAGAGTATAGCGTCAAACATTCCCATTGATTATTTACCATTTGTGGTTCTTTTTCGGATTTCTGCTTCTGTTCTACTTAACTTAGACTGCAAAATATTGGGTCGGTGCTCTATTCTTCCTCCGTGGATTGAAGATTATTTAATTCTTCAAATTATAAGAATTAAATGTTTACCAATGACATTGTCTATTTTATTCTCAATAACTCTAAATCCAACCTTCCCCCACTCCTAAGAAAACCATGGTAATCTAGCGAGTTTTGAAAAGACATGCTATTTTGACGTCACTAATTTTCATTGTGATGGAACTGGACAGGTCTAATGTGATTTACAGAGACTGTGACCATACAATTGCACTTTTACTTTGCATT